TGGTTGTGTGAGTGAGTGATGGCCGTGTCTCTGTGTGTGAGTGATGGTTGTGTGAGTGAGTGAGTGATGGTTGTGTGAGTGAGTGATGGCCGTGTCTCTGTGTGTGAGTGATGATTGTGTGAGTGAGTGAGTGATGGTTGTGTGAGTGAGTGAGTGATGGTTGTGTGAGTGAGTGAGTGATGGTTGTGTGAGTGAGTGAGTGATGGTTGTGTGAGTGAGTGATGGTTGTGTGAGTGAGTGATGGCCGTGTCTCTGTGTGTGAGTGATGGTTGTGTGAGTGAGTGAGTGATGATTGTGTGAGTGAGTGATGGCCGTGTCTGTGAGTGAGTGAGTGATGATTGTGTGAGTGAGTGATGGTTGTGTCTGTGAGTGAGTGATGATTGTGTGAGTGACTGAGTGATGGTTGTGTCTCTGTGTGTGAGTGATGGTTGTCTGTGTGTGAGTGATGGCCGTGTCTCTGTGTGTGAGTGATGGTTGTGTGAGTGAGTGAGTGATGATTGTGTGAGTGAGTGATGATTGTGTGAGTGATGGTTGTGTGAGTGAGTGATGGCCGTGTCTCTGTGTGTGAGTGATGGCCGTGTCTCTGTGTGTGAGTGATGATTGTGTGAGTGAGTGATGGTTGTGTGAGTGAGTGATGATTGTGTCTGTGTGTGAGTGATGGTTGTGTGTGTGAGTGATGATTGTGTGAGTGAGTGATGGCCGTGTCTCTGTGTGTGAGTGATGGTTGTGTGACTGAGTGATGGCCGTGTCTCTGTGTGTGAGTGATGGTTGTGTGAGTGAGTGATGGCCGTGTCTCTGTGTGTGAGTGATGATTGTGTGAGTGATGGTTGTCTGTGACTGAGTGATGGCCGTGTCTCTGTGTGTGAGTGATGGTTGTGTGACTGAGTGATGGCCGTGTCTCTGTGTGTGAGTGATGATTGTGTGAGTGATGGTTGTCTGTGACTGAGTGATGGCCGTGTCTCTGTGTGTGAGTGATGGCCGTGTCTCTGTGTGTGAGTGATGGCCGTGTCTCTGTGTGTGAGTGATGATTGTGTGAGTGAGTGATGGCCGTGTCTCTGTGTGTGAGTGATGGCCGTGTCTCTGTGTGTGAGTGATGATTGTGTGAGTGAGTGATGGTTGTGTGTGTGAGTGATGGCCGTGTCTCTGTGTGTGAGTGATGGCCGTGTCTCTGTGTGTGAGCGATGGCCGTGTCTCTGTGTGTGAGTGATGGCCGTGTCTCTCTGTGTGTGAGTGATGGCCGTGTCTCTGTGTGTGAGTGATGGCCGTGTCTCTGTGTGTGAGTGAGTGAGTGATGATTGTGTGAGTGAGTGATGGTTGTGTGAGTGAGTGAGTGATGGTTGTGTGAGTGAGTGAGTGATGGCCGTGTCTCTGTGTGTGAGTGATGGTTGTGTGAGTGAGTGAGTGATGGTTGTGTGAGTGAGTGATGGTTGTGTGAGTGTGTGAGTGATGGTTGTGTGAGTGAGTGATGGCCGTGTCTCTGTGTGTGAGTGATGGTTGTGTGAGTGAGTGATGGCCGTGTCTCTGTGTGTGAGTGATGGTTGTGTGAGTGAGTGATGGCCGTGTCTCTGTGTGTGAGTGATGGTTGTGTCTGTGAGAGTGATGATTGTGTGTGTGAGTGACTGAGTGATGGTTGTGTGAGTGAGTGAGTGATGGCCGTGTCTCTGTGTGTGAGTGATGGTTGTGTGAGTGAGTGATGGCCGTGTCTCTGTGTGTGAGTGATGGTTGTGTGAGTGAGTGATGGCCGTGTCTCTGTGTGTGAGTGATGGTTGTGTCTGTGAGAGTGATGATTGTGTGTGTGAGTGACTGAGTGATGGTTGTGTGAGTGAGTGAGTGATGGCCGTGTCTCTGTGTGTGAGTGATGGTTGTGTGAGTGAGTGATGGCCGTGTCTCTGTGTGTGAGTGATGGTTGTGTCTGTGAGAGTGATGATTGTGTGTGTGAGTGACTGAGTGATGGTTGTGTGAGTGAGTGAGTGATGGCCGTGTCTCTGTGTGTGAGTGATGGTTGTGTGAGTGAGTGATGGCCGTGTCTCTGTGTGTGAGTGATGGTTGTGTGAGTGAGTGATGGTTGTGTGTGTGAGTGATGGCCGTGTCTCTGTGTGTGAGTGATGGCCGTGTCTCTGTGTGTGAGTGATGATTGTGTGAGTGAGTGATGGCCGTGTCTCTGTGTGTGAGTGATGGTTGTGTCTGTGAGAGTGATGATTGTGTGTGTGAGTGACTGAGTGATGGTTGTGTGAGTGAGTGAGTGATGGCCGTGTCTCTGTGTGTGAGTGATGGTTGTGTGAGTGAGTGATGGCCGTGTCTCTGTGTGTGAGTGATGGTTGTGTCTGTGAGAGTGATGATTGTGTGTGTGAGTGAGTGAGTGATGGTTGTGTGAGTGAGTGAGTGATGGCCGTGTCTCTGTGTGTGAGTGATGGTTGTGTGAGTGAGTGATGGCCGTGTCTCTGTGTGTGAGTGATGGTTGTGTGAGTGAGTGATGGTTGTGTGTGTGAGTGATGGCCGTGTCTCTGTGTGTGAGTGATGGCCGTGTCTCTGTGTGTGAGTGATGATTGTGTGAGTGAGTGATGGCCGTGTCTCTGTGTGTGAGTGATGGTTGTGTCTGTGAGAGTGATGATTGTGTGTGTGAGTGACTGAGTGATGGTTGTGTGAGTGAGTGAGTGATGGCCGTGTCTCTGTGTGTGAGTGATGGTTGTGTGAGTGAGTGATGGCCGTGTCTCTGTGTGTGAGTGATGGTTGTGTCTGTGAGAGTGATGATTGTGTGTGTGAGTGACTGAGTGATGGTTGTGTGAGTGAGTGAGTGATGGCCGTGTCTCTGTGTGTGAGTGATGGTTGTGTGAGTGAGTGATGGCCGTGTCTCTGTGTGTGAGTGATGGTTGTGTGAGTGAGTGATGGTTGTGTGTGTGAGTGATGGCCGTGTCTCTGTGTGTGAGTGATGGTTGTGTCTCTGTGTGTGAGTGATGGCCGTGTCTCTGTGTGTGTGTGAGTGATGGTTGTGTGTGTGAGTGATGGCCGTGTCTCTGTGTGTGAGTGATGGCCGTGTCTCTGTGTGTGAGTGATGGCCGTGTCTCTGTGTGTGTGTGAGTGATGGCCGTGTCTCTGTGTGTGAGTGATGGCCGTGTGAGTGAGTGATGATTGTGTGAGTGATGGTTGTGTGACTGAGTGATGGCCGTGTCTCTGTGTGTGAGTGATGGCCGTGTCTCTGTGTGTGAGTGATGGCCGTGTCTCTGTGAGTGAGTGAGTGATGGTTGTGTGTGTGTGTGAGTGATGGTTGTGTGAGTGATGGTTGTGTGTGTGAGTGATGGTTGTGTGAGTGATGGTTGTGTGTGTGAGTGATGGTTGTGTGAGTGATGGTTGTGTGTGTGAGTGATGGCCATGTCTCTGTGTGTGAGTGATGGTTGTGTGAGTGATGGTTGTGTGAGTGAGTGAGTGATGGTTGTGTGAGTGAGTGATGATTGTGTGTGTGAGTGATGGTTGTGTGTGTGTGTGAGTGATGGTTGTGTGAGTGTGTGAGTGATGGTTGTGTGTGTGAGTGATGGCCGTGTCTCTGTGTGTGAGTGATGGCCGTGTCTCTGTGTGTGAGTGATGGCCGTGTCTCTGTGTGTGAGTGATGGTTGTGTGAGTGATGGTTGTGTGAGTGTGTGAGTGATGGTTGTGTGAGTGAGTGATGGCCGTGTCTCTGTGAGTGAGTGAGTGATGGTTGTGTGAGTGATGGCCGTGTCTCTGTGTGTGAGTGAGTGAGTGAGTGATGGCCGTGTCTCTGTGAGTGAGTGAGTGATGGTTGTGTGAGTGAGTGAGTGATGGCCGTGTCTCTGTGAGTGAGTGAGTGATGGTTGTGTGAGTGAGTGAGTGATGGCCGTGTCTCTGTGAGTGAGTGAGTGATGGTTGTGTGTGTGTGTGAGTGATGGTTGTGTGAGTGATGGTTGTGTATGTGAGTGAGTGATGGCCGTGTCTCTGTGTGTGTGTGAGTGATGGCCGTGTCTCTGTGAGTGAGTGATGGCCGTGTCTCTGTGTGTGAGTGATGGCCGTGTCTCTGTGTGTGAGTGATGGCCATGTCTCTGTGAGTGAGTGATGGCCGTGTCTCTGTGTGTGAGTGATGGCCGTGTCTGTGTGTGTGAGTGATGGCCGTGTCTCTGTGTGTGAGTGATGGCCGTGTCTCTGTGTGTGAGTGATGGCCGTGTCTCTGTGTGTGTGTGAGTGATGGTTGTGTGAGTGATGGTTGTGTGTGTGAGTGATGGCCGTGTCTCTGTGTGAGTGAGTGAGTGATGGTTGTGTGAGTGATGGTTGTGTGAGTGAGTGAGTGATGGCCGTGTCTCTGTGTGTGAGTGATGGCCGTGTCTCTGTGTGTGAGTGATGGCCGTGTCTCTGTGTGTGAGTGATGGTTGTGTGAGTGAGTGAGTGGTGGTTGTGTGTGTGAGTGATGGCCGTGTCTCTGTGTGTGAGTGATGGTTGTGTGAGTGAGTGAGTGATGGCCGTGTCTCTGTGTGTGTGTGAGTGATGGCCGTGTCTCTGTGTGTGAGTGATGGTTGTGTGAGTGAGTGAGTGATGATTGTGTGAGTGAGTGAGTGATGGTTGTGTGTGTGAGTGAGTGATGATTGTGTGAGTGAGTGATGGCCGTGTCTCTGTGTGTGAGTGATGGTTGTGTGTGTGTGTGAGTGATGGCCGTGTCTCTGTGTGAGTGAGTGAGTGATGGTTGTGTGTGTGAGTGATGGCCGTGTCTCTGTGTGAGTGAGTGAGTGATGGTTGTGTGAGTGATGATTGTGTGAGTGAGTGAGTGGTGGTTGTGTGTGTGAGTGATGGCCGTGTCTTTGTGAGTGAGTGATGGCCGTGTGTCTCTGTGTGTGAGTGATGATTGTGTGTGTGAGTGATGGCCGTGTCTCTGTGTGTGAGTGATGATTGTGTGACTGAGTGATGGCCGTGTCTCTGTGTGTGAGTGAGTGATGGTTGTGTGAGTGATGGTTGTGTCTGTGAGTGAGTGATGGTTGTGTGACTGAGTGATGGCCGTGTCTCTGTGTTTCCCCCACCTCCGGCCCAGGGCCGGCCTGCGCCGACGGCTCTCCCGTCGGCCCGGACGACATCGACGAAGACTTCTGCTCCGACTCCGACGACGAGGTGGAGGATGACGAGGTGGAGGATGACGAGGTGGAGGATGACGAGGTGGAGGATGACGAGGTGCGTGGAATGAAAGATCGGAAGGGGGAGGAGGAGGTGGTGGTTGGTGGCGGGGTGACGTCCCTATGGCGGAGCGACGAGGACAAGGAGGTGGTCAGCTGCTGTCTTGGCTGTTGGGCGAGGAGCGACGAGGTGGGGGGAGGAGGAGGAGGGGGGAGGGGGAGGAGGAGGAGGGGAGGGGGGAGGAGGAGGAGAGGTGACGGAGTCCGCGGCTGTGACGAGGAGCCGGAGGAAGAGCCGGAGGAGGCGGAGGAGGAGGAGGAGGGTGGGGGTTGGGGTGGGAGGAGGGGGGGAGGAAGGAGGGGGAGGGGCTGCGGTGGGGGTGGGGGTGGGGGGGGTGCCCCCACCGACGAGGTGTGGGGGGGAGGAGAGGGACAGCGGGCGGGGGAGGGGCAGGGAAAAGGAGGAGGAGGAGGAGGTGGTGGTGGTGGGGGCGTTGGGGGGAGGAGGAGGAGCTGATGCACGGGGGGAGCAGCTGTACAGGAGGGTGAGTGGGTGGGTGAGTGGGTGGGTGGGTGGGTGAGTGGGTGGGTGAGTGGGTGGGTGAGTGGGTGGGTGGGTGAGAGGGTGAGTGGGTGGGTGAGAGGGTGAGTGGGTGAGTGGGTGGGTGAGAGGGTGAGTGGGTGAGTGGGTGGGTGAGAGGGTGGGTGAGTGGGTGGGTGAGAGGGTGGGTGAGTGAGAGGGTGAGTGGGTGGGTGAGTGAGAGGGTGAGTGGGTGGGTGAGTGAGAGAGTGAGTGGGTGGGTGGGTGAGAGGGTGAGTGGGTGGGTGAGAGGGTGGGTGAGTGGGTGGGTGAGTGGGTGGGTGAGTGAGAGGGTGAGTGGGTGGGTGAGAGGGTGAGTGAGTGGGTGAGTGGGTGGGTGAGAGGGTGAGTGAGTGGGTGAGTGAGTGGGTGAGTGGGTGGGTGAGAGGGTGAGTGGGTGGGTGAGAGGGTGAGTGGGTGGGTGAGAGGGTGAGTGGGTGGGTGAGTGGGTGGGTGAGTGGGTGGGTGAGAGGGTGGGTGAGAGGGTGAGTGGGTGGGAGGGTGAGAGGGTGAGAGGGTGGGTGGGTGGGTGGATGAGAGGGTGAGTGGGTGGGTGGGTGAGAGGGTGAGTGGGTGGGTGGGTGAGAGGGTGAGTGGGTGGGTGGGTGAGAGGGTGAGTGGGTGGGTGGGTGAGAGGGTGAGTGGGTGGGTGGGTGAGAGGGCGAGTGGGTAGGTGGGTGAGAGGGCGAGTGGGTAGGTGGGTGAGTGGGTGGGTGAGAGGGTGGGTGAGTGGGTGGGTGAGAGGGTGGGTGAGTGGGTGGGTGAGAGGGTGGGTGAGAGGGTGGGTGAGTGGGTGGGTGAGAGGGTGGGTGAGTTGGTGGGTGGGTGGGTGAGTTGGTGGGTGGGTGGGTGAGTTGGTGGGTGGGTGGGTGAGTTGGTGGGTGCATGGGTGGCTGAGAGAGTGAGAGGGTGGGTGGGGGGGGGTGGGTGGGTGGGTGGGTGAGTTGGTGGGTGGGTGGGTGAGTTGGTGGGTGGGTGGCTGAGTTGGTGGGTGGGTGGATGGGTGGCTGAGAGAGTGAGAGGGTGGGTGGGGGTGAGTTGGTGGGTGGGTGGGTGAGTTGGTGGGTGGGTGGTTGATTTGGTGAGTGAATCACGTGTCTCCTCAGGTCTCCGTGACGACGCACTCACACGGTGGGGGCGTGTCCATCACCACTGCTCCCGACAGCTCATTGGCTGTACGGCCAGGGGGCGGAGTCAAATCTCTCCTGGAAATGCTGGTAAATACACAGACAAAGTTCTCCCAGGTAGCCTCTAGCAGGGCTGTAGGGGCAAGTGCTGTTAGTAGCGAGTAGCAGAACCTACACACACAAAGATCCCCCAGGTAGCCTCTAGCAGGCTGTAGGGGCAAGTGCTGTGAGTAGCGAGTAGCAGCACCTACATACACACAGACAAAGATCCCCCAGGTAGCCTCTAGCAGGCTGTAGGGGCAAGTGCTGTTAGTAGCGAGTAGCAGCACCTATACACACACAGACAAAGGTCCCCAGGTAGCCTCTAGCAGGCTGTAGGGGCAAGTGCTGTTAGCGGCAGCGCCTATGAAGGCTGCCACTGTGACCACTCACAAGAAGCATCACCCCCCTGTCTGTCTCTCTGTCTGTCTCCGTGTCTCTCTGTCTCTCTGTCTCCCTCTCTGTCTCCCTCTCTGTCTCCCTGTCTGTCTCCGTGTCTCTCTGTCTCCGTGTCTCTCTGTCTCCGTGTCTGTCTCCGTGTCTCTCTCTGTCTCTGTGTCTCCGTGTCTCTCTCTCTCTCTGTCTCCGTGTCTCTCTCTCTCTCTCTGTCTCCGTGTCTCTCTCTCTGTCTCCGTGTCTCTCTCTCTGTCTCCGTGTCTCTCTCTCTGTCTCCGTGTCTCTCTCTCTGTCTCTCTGTCTCCCTGTCTCTCTGTCTCCCTGTCTCTCTGTCTCCCTGTCTCTCTGTCTCCCTGTCTCTCTGTCTCCCTGTCTCCGTGTCTCTCTGTCTGTCTCCCTGTCTGTCTCCCTGTCTGTCTCCGTGTCTCTCTGTCTCCGTGTCTCTCTCTCTGTCTCCGTGTCTCTCTGTCTGTCTCTCTCTGTCTCCGTGTCTCTCTCTCAGTGTCTCTCTGTCTCCGTGTCTCTCTCTCTGTCTCCGTGTCTCTCTCTCTGTCTCTCTCTGTCTCCGTGTCTCTGTCTCCGTGTCTCTCTCTCCATGTCTCTCTCTCTGTCTCTCTCTGTCTCCGTGTCTCTCTCTGTCTCCGTGTCTCTCTCTCTGTCTCCGTGTCTCTCTCTCTTGTCTCTCTCTGTCTCTGTGTCTCTCCCTGCATGCCTGTAGAATGATGGCTCTCCGTGTCTCTCTGTCTCCTTGCTCCCTGTAGGATGATGATATTTCTCTCTGTCTCTGTGTCTCTCTGTCTATGTCAGAGACAGAGAGAAATATCATCATCCTACAGGGAGCAGTGAGAGACACGGAGAGACAGAGGGAGACAGAGATAAAGATCCTCGTTGTCTCTCCGTGTCTCTCACTGCTCCCTCTAGGATGACGATCTCTCTCTCTGTGTCTCCGTGTCTCTCTCCGTCTCTCCGTGTCTCTCCGTGTCTCCGTGTCTCTCCCCGCATGCCTGTAGGATGATGATCTTTCTCTCTGTCTCTGTGTCTCTGTCTCTGTGTCTCTCCGTGTCTCTCCTTGCTCCCTGTAGGATGACGATCTCTCTCTCCCTCTCTCCGTGTCTCTCAGTGTCTCTCTCACTGCTCCCTGTAGGATGACGATCTTTCTCTCTGTCTCTGTGTCTCCGTGTCTCTCTGTCTCTCCGTGTCTCTCTCCGTGTCTCCGTGTCTCTCTCACTGCTCCCTGTATGGATGACGATCTCTCTCTCCCTCTCTCCGTCTCTCTCTCTCCGTGTCTCCCCGTGTCTCTCCCCCGCGCCCGCAGGACGAATGCGAGCGGGCTGGCAGCGACGAGGTGCCAGCGGCCCCCCTCATCGCCCCCGAAGAGGTGCTCGAGTTCGAGGCCGCTCACCGCCCCTTCATGGACAACCGCCAGCTCTATCGCCAGCGCCTGAGAGAGCGCTTCCAGCGCTACTGCCGCCACGCCGCGGCCTGCCCCCAGCGTGGAGGAGGTGGAGGAGGTGGAGGAGGAGGTGGAGGAGGAGGTGGAGGAGGAGGTGGAGGAGGAGGTGGTGGAGGAGGAGGGGGTGGAGGAGGGGGTGGAGCGCTCGCAACGTCCACGGCTCTGTGAACGCGCGCATTGCGTGTGTGTGTGTGTGTACGTGTGTGTGTGTACATGTGTGTGTACGTGTGTGTGGCGTGTGTGTGTGTGTGTCTGTGTGTGTGTGTATGTGTGTCTCTGTGTGTGTCTGTGTGTGTCACTGTGTCTGTGTGTGTGTGTGTGTCACTGTGTGTGTGTCTGTGTGTGTCTGTCTGTGTGTCTGAGTGTGTGTCTGAGTGTGTGTCTGTCTGTGTGTGTGTGACTGTGTGTGTGTGTGTGTGTCTGTGTGTGTGTGTGTGTGACTGTGTGTGTGTCACTGTGTGTGTGTCACTGTGTGTGTGTGTCACTGTGTGTGTGTCACTGTGTGTGAGTGTGTGTGTGTGAGTGTGTCTGTGTGCACTTACCTCGACCGCCTTGATGAGAACGAGCACTTTGGTGCGACAGCCTCCTGCTGCTCCGCCTCCTCCCTCAAACCCCTCCCCCCTCCTCCACCTCCTCCCCCCCCTCCTCCTCCACTCCACCTCCACCCCTCCCAAGTCTCCACCCCCCCCTCCACCCCCTCCTCCACCCCCCCTCCTCCACCCCCCCCCTCTCCCCCCCCCCTCCACCCCCCCCTCTCCTCCCTCATCCCCTCCCCCCCCTCCCCCCCTCCTCCAGCCTCCCTCTCGCTTGGACTTGACACCGGTGTCCCCCCCCCCCCCACGGCGACGCTTCCGTGCGCCCATCACCTCGCGATCCACCAACCCTGCTCCTCCATTGCCTTCACCACTACCACCACCTCCACCACCACTGCCGCCACCACCGCCACCACCAACACCACCACCACCAACACCACCAAAACCACCACCAACACCACCACCAACACCACCAACACCATCACCACCACCACCATCACCACCACCACCACCTCCACCACCAACACCACCAACACCACCAACAACACCACCACCACCATCACCACCACCTCCACCACCAACACCACCAACACCACCAACAACACCACCACCACCTCCACCACCAACACCACCAACAACACCACCACCATCACCACCACCACCACCTCCACCACCAACACCACCAACAACACCAACAACACCACCACCACCAACACCACCAACAACACCACCATCACCACCACCAACACCACCACCACCACCACCAACACCACCAACAACACCACCACCACCTCCACCAACATCACCTCCACCACCAACACCACCAACAACACCACCACCACCACCAACACCACCAACAACACCACCACCACCACCATCACCACCACCACCTCCACCATCACCACCACCAACACCACCAACAACACCACCACCTCCATCACCACCACCAACACCACCAACAACACCACCACCACCTCCATCAACATCACCTCCACCACCAACACCACCAACACCACCAACAACACCATCACCACCATCACCACCACCACCATCACCACCACCACCATCACCACCATCACCACCACCATCACCACCACCATCACCACCACCACCATCACCACCACCACCATCATCACCACCACCATCATCACCACCACCATCACCATCACCACCACCATCACCACCACCACCACCACCATCATCACCACCACCATCATCATCACCACCACCACCACCGCCCATTTTTGAGAGCGCCTCGGAACCGCGTGAAGTTTGTCCGCTACGGAGACGAGGAGAGGGGGCGGGGTCACGTCGCCTTGGCAACGACACCGGGCGGGGTCACGTCGCCTTAGCAACGACACTGTGTAGTGACGTCGTCTTGGCAATGACACCCGGCGGTCACGTCGCCTTGGCAATGACACCCGGCGGTCACGTCGCCTTGGCAACGACACTCTGTAGTGACGTCGTCTTGGCAACGACACCGGGTGGTCACGTCGCCTTGGCAACGACACTCTGTAACGACGTCGTCTTGGCAACGACACCCGGCGGTCACGTCGCCTTGGCAACGGCACCGGGTGGTCACGTCGCCTTGGCAACGACACCGCGTAATTCCGTTGTCTTGGTAACGACATCCCCCCTCCCCCCCTCCACCACGCGGGGTGTTGTCCGGGGCAGGCTGTTGCTGCTGCTGCTGTTGCTGCTGCTGTTGCTGCTGAGGCTGCTGCTGTTGCTGCTGCTGCTGTTGGTGCTGCTGAGGCTGCTGCTGCTGCTGTTGCTGCTGTTGGTGCTGCTGTTGGTGGTGCTGTTGTTGCTGCTGCTGTTGTTGCTGCTGCTGTTGGTGGTGCTGTTGTTGCTGCTGCTGTTGTTGCTGCTGTTGGTGCTGCTGAGGCTGCTGCTGTTGCTGTTGGTGCTGCTGTTGGTGGTGCTGTTGTTGCTGCTGCTGTTGTTGCTGCTGCTGTTGCTGCTGAGGCTGCTGCTGCTGCTGCTGCTGAGGCTGCTGCTGCTGCTGTTACTGCTGCTGCTGTTGGTGCTGCTGAGGCTGCTGTTGCTGCTGCTGCTGTTGCTGCTGCTGCTGTTGCTGCTGTTGCTGCTGCTGCTGTTGGTGCTGCTGAGGCTGCTGTTGCTGCTGCTGCTGTTGCTGCTGCTGCTGTTGCTGCTGTTGCTGCTGCTGCTGCTGTTGCCGCTGCTGCCGAGGTTGCTGCCGTGACATTAAAGATTCAAACGGCGCCCGCCCGCCCCTCCGCCCCTCCGCCCCTCGAGCGGTTTCCCCCTCGCGGCATCGGCGCGGAGATTCTCGGCGCGGTCGGGCACCAGCGTCGCTATTGCCGCCGACGTGGCGAGGCGACGGAATGTCCCAAGCGTGGCTCTCGACGTTGTCACAAGACTCGGCGGCGATGCGATGCGGGATTGAAAATGAAAGTATTTTCCGAAAAAAGTAACTCTTTGTTTTTCTTTCTGCTTTTGGTTTTTGTTGTTGTTGTTGTTGTTGTTTAAAAAACCCCCTCCACGTTTTCCCCGTTAAATGTAACCGTGCTGGTAATGGCAGAAGGTTGCCGCGACGTTAAAGGGGCGGGAGGGGACACCGTGGTTGGACAGTTAGACCCGTATTAAAAGGTTGTTTACGAATATATATATAGTTTTGAATTTTTTTGTTTTGTTTTATGATCGAAGCTGGTTTTTGTCATCGGTATGACCCCCGGGGCATACCGATGGCGCATCGGGAAGTGGGTTTGGGACTGGGTTGCAAGACACGAGCGTGCAACAACGGGCCCGAGTTAAAACAAACCACAAAAGAGAGAGAGAGAGCATTATGAGGGCCTCCTTTGCCAGTGACGACACGTAGGAATAGGTTTTTACCCTTTTTAACTGGCACCAAAAACTGACACCGTTGTTCGAGGCATCGTGTTTGCAATAAACCACAACACAAAGCAGTCAAAATGCAGACAAAAACACGATGCCTTGTATGAAGGTGTCAGTTTTTTGTGCCAGTTAAAAGGGTAAAAAACCTATTCCTATATCTTGTTACTGGCTAAGGAGGTCTCAATGTAAGTGCTCACCCCGAGCCCTCAATAACTCTGACGGTGCGCTGTTTTTGAGTTGTACGCCTTTTGGCGTCTTCTGGTCCAACACCAGCGGAGACTAAAGGGGCTCTAAGAAAAGCCGTCTCGGGTGTGGACCAATCAAATTCAAGGACAGTGCCAATATTATCAGAGTTGTCTCTTTTTGTTTGCATTTTGACTGCTTGTGTTGTGGTTATTGCAGACACGATGCCTTGAATAAAGGCGTCAGTTTTTGTGCCAGTTAAAAGGGTAAAAAACTATTCCTATATCTTGTTACTGGCTAAGGAGGTCTCATAATGTAAATGCTCACCCCGAGCCCTCAATAACTCTGGTGCGCTGTGTTTGAGTTGTACGCCTTTTGGCGTCTTCTGGTCCAACACCAGTGGAGAGACTAAAGGGGCTCTAAGAAAAGCCGTCTCGGGTGTGGACCAATCAAATTCGAGGACAGTGCCAATATCATTATCAGAGTTGTCTATTTTTTGTTTGCATTTTGACTGCTTGTGTTGTGGTTATTGCAGACACGATGCCTTGTATGAAGGTGTCAGTTTTTGTGCCAGTTAAAAGGGTAAAAACCTATTCCTATATCTTGTTACTGGCTAAGGAGGTCTCAATGTAAGTGCTCACCCCGAGCCCTCAATAACTCTGATGGTGCGCTGTGTTTGAGTTGTACGCCTTTTGGCGTCTTCTGGTCCAACACCAGCGGAGACTAAAGGGGCTCTAAGAAAAGCCGTCTCGGGTGTGGACCAATCAAATTCAAGGACAGTGCCAATATCATTATCAGAGTTGTCTCTTTTTGTTTGCATTTTGACTGCTTGTGTTGTGGTTATTGCAAACACGATGCCTTGAATAAAGGTGTCAGTTTTTGTGCCAGTTAAAAGGGTAAAAACCTATTCCTATATCTTGCTACTGGCTAAGGAGGTCTCATAATGTAAATGCTCACCCCGAGCCCTCAATATCTCTGATGGTGCGCTGTGTTTGAGTTGTACGCCTTTTGGCGTCATCTGGTCCAACACCAGTGGAGACTAAAGGGGCTCTAAGAAAAGCCGTCTCTGGTGTGGACCAATCAAATTCAAGGACAGTGCCAATATCATTATCAGAGTTGTCTATTTTTTGTGTTTGCATTTTGACTGCTTGTGTTGTGGTTATTGCAAACACGATGCCTTGGATAAAGGTGTCAGTTTTTGGTGCCAGTTAAAAGGGTAGACACCTATTACTATTTTTCGATTTAAAGCTTTCGTGACTGCAATGATTCATCTTCTTTGGTTCTTTCGGTAAAGTCACGTAGAATGATAATAAAATAATAAATTGATAAAATAAAATAACAATAATATTCTCACGACGTTTCGGCCACAACACAAGCGGCCTTCATCAGGTGAAGGGACGAGACTGTCTGGTAGGACAGCGCTGGAGTGAAAGAGCCACGTTCAGATGACGGCCTTTAAGCTGTGTGAGAGGAACAAAGCGCCTTGACAAAGGAATTAGCATATAATTTAGCATTGAAATGGCTGAATGATTAGCTTGTGACTGGTCACAGAAATAGCTATGTTAAAAGTTAAAGCATACACATCCGCAGAGGCACCCCTTGACAATGGAATTAGCATAGTATTTAGCATTGAAATAGCTAAGTTAAAGCATACACATCCGCAGAGGCACCCCT